AAGGGGTGGGAACCACTGAATTAAGGGTTAAAAACGTCCCCATAATCGCTGATCACCGTGCGCCCCCGGTGAGGCGGGGCATTTAAAATCGAATAGTAAATTATTCGAATCGGTTCAGATGATAATTCCGAAATCCGCCGCCAATTTTTTTCGAGGTACAACACTCATTTTTGCTGGAAGTCCGTCCATTTTTCAAAATGCAATTCTGACATATGACTCTTTACCGTCCGAGTGGGTTATTATGAAACACATTTTCTTATTGTGTTGACAATTCGGCGGAACTGGACTGAAAATAGATTCTATGTTTTCAGTAATTTATGGGACTGGAGGACCTATTACAATAAGAAAGTCACATTCAATGCAAGTATTCGATTCAAAAAATATTCGATTCAATTCTGAAATCAAAAATACACACCCTTAATAATAATAATATGTGTAGTGAACGTTTCTGTTTGAAGCGAAAATCTTTCATTCCAATACTACCTATATATTATATTACATAATATATATCCCCTACAATAAATTACATTACACATACAATTGGAAATCTTACAAGTATTCGAGAATCGAAAAAAATATTCGATTCGATTCTGAAATCATCGGGTATTCGAAAATGCCCATCCTAAGTCACAGTTATTCCCAAACGACGCGACATCCAAAGGCGGGTCAACTAAAGTTTCCTTTGAATCACGTTTTTTTTAAATAATTAAAAAAATGAAAAATGTTGTAACAACCACATGAGAGGAAAACGAACACTTCGTGTCCAATAATCGATAGGAAATTGAAAATTACGCACAACAGTCTGGATAATCGATATCAATTTCAGGAAGTAATCAATCAAATTTCGACACCCACTAGGGGGCGATCAAGTGAATAATGTATCTCACGGGAATTTTCAGCAATCAATGTCATCAGGCCGGAGCTAATTGGTTTATTATGTCGAATTAAAAAAGAGCAAAAAAGGTACTCTTGTAGTATGCGAACCAAGATGGCGGACATCGGAACGTAGTATGTGTACCAGATTAGGCCATAGGTACAAATACTACGGGAGTGACTTGGCCAGTCTATAGAACTAAAATACGGAAATTGGAATAATGTTATGGCCTAACCCTAACCTGGTACACATACTACGTTCCGGTGTCCGCCATCTTGGTTCGTATATTTCAGGAGTACCTAAAAAAGATCGAATATATGACTAAGCCTAATGTAAGTGAATTATGTCACAAAAAAGTGTTACCAAGAGTTGCATAGCCAGGAAGGGGGTTGAGGATCACTCCCCCTTTCTGAAATGTAAAAAAGCATTTTTCTGTATCATATAGAGCAATTTTTAGTAGCTCAAAACGCTTTTTAAGCCTTTAAGTCTCTTAAAAACCCGCATTCACGGTCGGACCTGCTAGAGCTAGACGTTACGGTCTAATTTGACAATTAGAAATTTCAGGACACATTACCCCCTCTCCCCCCTGTTTGAAAATTTCTGGGTACACCCCTGTTACTTGGGATCGGGCCCGGTACAGAACTAAAAAAAAAGGGGGGCTCCCGAAGTATGCGAACCAAGATGGCGGACATCGGGATGTAATATGTGTACTAGGTTAGGGTTGGGCCATAATTTTAAGTATAAATACTACGGGAGGCTCTTGGCTAGTCTTCGAACTGATAATAGGACTAAAATAAGAAAAATTGGAAGAAAATTATCGCCTAACCCTAACCTGTTACCCATGTTACGTTCCGATGTCCGCCATCTTGGATCGCATACTTCGGGAGCACCAAAAAAAGAATTTCTCTATTCTTGAAAATGATTTAAATAAGCTTTGTTCATTTTCCACTAGTTTTTGTTAAAGTTGTTACGTTATTATAGTGCTGACATTAGTTAGACGGGCCAAGTACGGCCCGTTAGGTAATTCGATCTGGCCCGCCTGATGCTGCCACAACCAAACTAAACCCAAATTTTGATTCTGTTGCTATAAATAGCTCAATGAATTTGTTGAGATTGCGATTAAATTCAGTTTTGGCATAAGGCTTATTGTTTCGAATAAGATATCTATTTATTTATATAAGGTATATATTTATTTTGTAGAGTTATCAAAATACAGACGAACGGGGTATTCCACCTTTTCAACTGGGTTACCCGAAGCCAAGGCGCTTCTGCCGTGAAAAATAGTTTGGTGATTTTGAAGATGACCTAGCTGCCCATGTGGTTTCAATGAAAAGTGTTGAACAACGTGCTGTGATAGAAACAGTATGTTCCCCAGCTGTTTGTTTTAGTGAGGGTGTTCCCAAATTCAAGGAGATGGTAGATATTTTGTTATTAGTGATAATACTATTTCGAACGTATAAACATGTGTTATGTATTCGGCATAGGAAAATAAATGGATAAAAACAATCTGCGTTACTGCCACTGCGTTAGTATATTTTCCTGGTGCGTTTAACGTTGTCAAAATGATTCCATTGGTGTATTTTTATGATTAGTCAAACGCTCGAACAGCCAACTAAGACGTCATAACCACTTGAAATTTACACCCACTAAAACAAAAAGACGAGTTCCATCACGCATCCATATACTTTATTCACCTGTAGATATGATATGCGTAAATTGCCCACCTGTACAATGATTAATAAAACAAGAGAGCTATGCTCAAATATATGGACACGTAGCGATGCCACCCAATGGCAATAATTTTGATGACGTCATAGCGAAAAAAAAAAGTAATAGCCTTCTGGAGAAAAATTTTATCTTCAACCACTGGAAATTTCAAAGCAATTGGTCCAGTATTCGAAGAGAAAAGCGACTTTTTAAAAACGTGTCAAAGAACAAGAACAACAACAACATAATATTGAAACGATCGTTATGTCCACTACGTGTCCAATTATGTTCTATTCATACCCCAAGAGAGGTAAGCCGATAATACGTTTTCGGGTACTCCCGTAGTACGTGAACCAAAATGACGGACACCGTAACGTAGTAGGTATGTGTACCAGGTTAGGGTTAAGTCATAATTTCAAATACAAATACTACGGGAGTCACTTGACTTTTACAACAAATATAATACAAATATAATATAAATATACAAATATATTAACAAATATAATTATAGTCAACAACAACAATGTTTTAGAAATCTTTTATTCTATTGTAAAGCGTATTTCCGAAGGTAGATAGAGGGTGCGATGAGCGAGAAAAATAAATTTTAGGAGGGGTGTTCACTCGTCTATAGAGGGTATAGGGTAATCACTGTAACTCACATATGTCAGGTATGGAAATTGTTACGATATCATTTACATATTTTTTCACGGAGAAGAAAGCCGATAAGACGGATTGATTTAAACGCAAACCACGACCTCACGTCTGAATGTTCAGCGCAATGAATTTTAGGAGTCGCAAAAAGTACACTAATTTCGAACAAAGTACTATACCTAATGTACTTTTTCAGACGTTTGATTCGAAATAATATTATCGAATTTAGTGTAAATCTTGAATCTAACAATTTCGAGAAAATACATAGGATCAGAGAAGCGGCGCGCTTGCATAACAATGCCGCATAATTCAGTGATGTAAATCTGTATGAATGTGAGTGTTGTTTTTGTGATGTCAGCTACCAAAACTGATGTAAGATTCATGTAAGACTTGAGCGATTCAACTCAAGACAACCAGGAAACTGATGAATCCCACCTAACTGAATTTCTTCTAAATAATTTGACATAAAAAATGATTCAAGGCGAAGGCGTTCAATTGCTTATTAATGTTCGCCAATGTACGTATGTGCACACCAGTCATAGGATGACGTAGTGAAAACAAAAACCGCCTCGCATTTTAGTTCTTATAAAAATAAGCAGAGTTTAAGCTTACAGGGCAGATTAAGGAATACTCTGAGTAGAGTCGATGGCGCTCCAGAAGTGTGTGTACCAATATGGAGGCAACTAATTTTGTTCGCCTATTTTACATCAAGTTGTGTAAAGGGACTGAGACCTATGGGCAGGATGTATATTCACTTGGCTAACACAGACTGTCCCCGAACTCGTGATAGAACTAAATTAAGGAAAATCGGAATAAAATTATGACCTAACCTGGTTCTGGTACACACACTACGGGAGTGCAGATTAAGGAATACTGAGTGGAGTCGATACCTTTAAAGTACCGGACGCCCTCGAAACGAAGATTTTCGTTGCCAGAGCAATATCAGACGCTGTCGAAACGTACATATTTTCAATCGCATTTCCGCGCGAGTCATACAGCGTTTTTCTTTTCTTAATCGTGTCCTAAATTAAACGATTGCTCACGTGCAACACATGTTGAAATCCACAATACTCATCGCCTTTTTTAGTCATCTCCGCAGTGCTTTGTATGTTGTCGCTACGAGCCTTAAACGATTGCTCACGTGCAACACATGTTGAAATCCACAATACTCATCGCCTTTTTTAGTCATCTCCGCAGTGCTTTAAATTATATTAAAAATAAACAGTACAAACGGACAGAAGGCTTTTCTTCATTGCTCCGCAACTTTATCGCTTCACGATGTCACAAAATATGTTCTAGAATTCCTAAGTTTTGTCACAATGTCTGTCTGGCACTTCTCGGACATAACATAAATAGGCGCTGAGCGCTTGTTCGCAAACGTATTAGCAAATGTTCTGCCAAATTAAGCTATAACTACAGATTTTTCTGAGAGCCGTCACTGAAAGAGCGATATATGGCTCGCGAGACAGGGGTTCACGATCACTGCTGTAAAGTATTGGACGTTTTTGAAACGTGAATTTATATATCATATTCCGGACGTCTTCGAACCCTCAAATTTTTGTATCCTGTAAGTGTAAAATATTGGATGCCCGCCAAACGAAGAATATTTTTGTCAGCGCGAAATCGGACGCCATCGAAACGCGAATTTTCTATCTGATTTCAGCCGTCCTCGAACACTCAAATTTTCGTAACCAGTAAAATATTGGACGTCGTAGAAACGCAGATTTTCGCCTCATGATCTGTAAAATACGGTACTTACAGAAAGACTTTAAAATTATTCGCTAAACCTAGGTTAGCACTACGTTATGGATAAAGAGAATGACAACTCTGAAGACAGCCATCATTACGCTTATCCGACTGTTGTGTTCAAAAAACCGGAGTCAAAAGAAAATGTACAAAAGCCGATGAATCAGTATGAGAATATTCCAGGGCCCAAGAAAGACGACACAAAGAAAAAAGGTGGGTCAACAAATATCCGGATGCCCATTCCGGATTTATTATCCAGACTTAAAAATGACTCATACTCCGGAAAAGTTAAATTTTGAATATGAAAGTTGGGCTTATGTAAGCCTTTTTAAATGTTTGGACATAAACCCGGACTCTTCTCCGACCTTCAAAACCGGATTGAAAAACGACTTTAATTCCTTTTTCTTTGAGACCTATGGATCATTTTGTTAATAATATTATGTCGTTGTTGTTCTTGTTGGTATTTTTTCTCCTATTGTTGTGAAAAAAATCACTTTTCTCATTATCTACGGAACGAATTTCTTCAGTGGTTATACATTGTATTTTTTTGCTAGGCTATTACTATTTATTCTTCAAAAATTTCTGTGGCTTCTATGGGAATCGTTTTTTTGTGTAATGACATCATCGAAACATACATACAAGTGGCGGTTTCGTATTCGCGTTGGTCGCAAAGATTGCCGTTCGGGTTAGGGTGACCATACGTCCTCTTCATGGAGGATTTGTCCACCTTTTTCGTTACAAAATTTACGTCCTCCGAGGACGCATTAAAATGTCAAAATGTCCTCTTTTTCACGGGATTAAATACTTAAAATTTTGCTAGGATTCAATCAACAGTTTCCAGGGTGTTGAGAAAATTTTAAAGTCAGTAGAGACTTGTAAACATCATTATACATATGACAAGCAATGCATTGCGTAGTGACAGCATACACACGGGGTTCCGAGTCTAATTAAATGCATACTTGTTATGCTTACTCGTTTATGACGTAAAAATCGTTTCGTTCTACAAATATGTTTTAAATCATTTCACCTTGTATTTCGCAATTTAAAGTAAAGTTTCGATTTTGGCAGAAAATTACGTCAGTATGCTCATTGCTCAGTTGATTATGCCGAACAAAAAAAAAACTATTTTTAGGAACTAAAGCAAAAGTAAACATGCTTTTGAGTCTATTTTCTATTTAGGTCTGTTGCTAGTGTACTCACTTAGTTTACAATTTTAACGACTAATTAATTGATTGTTATGTAGATGTTTTTCGGTGCTCCCGAAGTATGCGAACCAAGATGGCGGACATCGGAACGTAACATGGGTAACAGGTTAGGGGTTAGGCGATAATTTTTTCCAAATTTTCCTTATTTTAGTCCTATTATCAGTTTGAAGACTAGCCAAGAGCCTCCCGTAGTATTTAACTAATATTATGGCCCAACCCTAACCTAGTACACATGTTACATTCGATGTCCGCCATCTTGGTTTCGCATACTTTCGGGAGCCCCTGTTTTTCTAATAAATGCAAAAAATGCGTTGATATTTCATTGTCGTCCAGTTCGTCCATTGTCACCTCTACATTTAATCCTAGAGAAACTAGCAGATATATAATGTATATCTCATGCACAGGTGAAATATGGTTCTACCAAACGATGTGTCCTCCTTTTAGAGTCTGGAAATATGGTCACCCTAGTATTGGTAGTCTACTGTGACTGATTGCATCCCTTTAATACTTTGCCTTGGTTACGTGCCCATTTATTTGAGCATCGTTCTCTTGTTTTTTCAGTGAAGAATCTTCGTCAACTCTCGGGTGAAGAAGGACCAAGCAAGTCCCAGGACCAGAATAATAATGCTGTTTGGATCATCTATGTTGCAATAGTCATCGGACTGGTGTTCACCGCCATTACATTTCTTGTTCTGTTACAAGAAAAAGAAAAGTTGAGACAAGATTTAACAGGTACCGTGATAGATGTAATTGTACCAATAAGGAGATAACTAATTTTATTCGCCTACTTTACATCAAGTTGTGTAACGAGACTGGAATCTATGGGCAGGGGGATATTCACTTGGCTAACATAGGCTGTCCCCCGAACTCGTAATAGAAACTAAAATAAGGAAAATCGGAATAAAATTATGGCCTGACCCTAACCTAAACAGCGCTCCAGAAGTGTGTGTATCAATAAGGAGATAACTAATTTTGTTCGCCTATTTTACATCAAGTTGTGTAAAGGGACTGAAACCTATGGGCAGGGGGATATTCACTTGGCTAACATAGGCTGTCCCCGAACTCGTAATAGAAACTAAACTAAGGAAAATCTGAATAAAATTATGGCCTAACCCTAACCTAAACAGCGCTCCAGAAGTGTGTGTATCAATATGGAGGTAACTAATTTTGTTTGCCTATTTTACATCAAGTTGTGTAAAGGGACTGGAACCTATGGGAAGGGGGTACATGCACTTGGCTAACACAGACAGTCCCCGAACTCGTAATAGAAACTAAAATAAGGAAATGGGGGATGTTCTAAAATTAGGGGGTGATAATTATTTTGCTACCAGCGATAAAACTATTTGTAACTTTTTATAAGAGTATTTGTGAGTGGACTGTTGGAAGTTTATGGATTATTCATAACTACAGGGGAAATCACTGTCATTACACATAGCGCCTAACAGCATGACATTGTCCTCATTTTTTCGTTTATCTTGTTTCATTTTAACAGAAACGGAACGACGATTGAACAAGAGTGAAGTGAATCTGCGAGGGGGTAATTTTTATTTTTTATAATTCATAACAAAAATCCCTTTCGGGGCTTCATTGCACTAAGCTCGTGATTAGGCTTTGGCATTTCGAATCGAATAGCAAATTATTCGTTACTCCTAAAGTATGTGAACCAAGATGGCGGAAACTGGAACGTAGTATGTGTACCAGGTTAGAGTTAGGCCATAATTTCCGGTACAAATATTACGGGAGTCATTTGGCTAGTCCCTGAACTCGTAATAGAACTAAAATAAAAAAAAATTGGAATAAAATTATGACCTAACCCTAACCTGGTACACATACTACGTTTCCGGTGTCCACCATCTTGGTTCACATACTTCGGAAGTACCACGATTTTTTCATAACAACAACGAGAAAATAAATTCTAATAACAACATGTTAATAACAAAACGATCAATAGGTGCATTTCGTGCGCAATAAGTCTCTCCACCCAACTGTACTTTTGGGGCTCCCGAAGTATGCGAACCAAGATGGCGGCCATAATTTTAGGTATTAATACTACGGGAGGCTCTTGGCTAGTCTTCGAACTGATAATAGGACTAAAATAAGGAAAATTGGAAAAAAATTATCGCCCCATGTTACGTTCCGATGTCCGCCATCTTGGTTCGCATACTTCGGGAGCGCCGTACTTTTTCATCAAAACTTTCAAACCAGCGAATTTCTTATTCTTCTTTACAGAGATAGCTTTGCTTCAGAAGCAAATGCTCAATGTAGCAGGCGAGATGTCAAGACAAGGACGAAATATAGGAGACCTACAAAACTCATCCAGTGAAAATAAAAAAAGTTGGTAACCGTTGGTTACTTGTTTTATATCAATTTTACGGTCTACCGTTATCTATTCATATATACCGTGCAAAAATAATAACTTGTAGATATATATATATATTATTTCCCGGTCGAATAACTGCTAAAATCAAGAACATTTTCCTTTTTTTAAAAGTTTGATTCTAAAATACCGATTTGGCGGTGTCTAAACCTTGCCCTTTCGGTTGACAAATTAGATACAAAATGGCGGCAATTGGAAATTTTAGCCTAACAGTTGAAATATTTAGTTGGTTACTATTTGAAATGCCCAGTCCTATTCTCAGGGGCGTAGCCAAGAATTTTCAAAGGGGGAGAGGGGGGGTCCGAAATTTAGGTGTGTACGAAATGTCGCACAACCTGAATATAGTATGTGTGCCCGGTGAGGGTTCAGGTTGTGCGTCATCTTGGTACGAATACTTTCGGAGCGCCGGAATTTGTAATTGCCAAGTTTGACAGCAACAGGTGGTCTGGCCGGAGGCCGCAAAACGCGAGTTTCTAAGAGAACTGATGTTTTAAAAATTGCGATGTGTGATATAGAATGTTTCTAGAAATCGAAACTGAATATGTCCGACTTCCTTGTTTACTTCGGGACATTGGCTAATCAGCAAGATGCAAAGAGTGACGTGGTTTCGCATCCGCTCAGACACTTTTCTCGCTCAGACTGATTTCCAGGCGTCGTCGACTCGTCGTAAACATTACCTCGTTTTCGCGTTTTTGAAATCTATTCGTTAATTTTTAGTTCTGTTTCGGATATTTAAATGTAAATCAAATTTTTCAATGATCACTTTGTCTTCTCAGAAGTTTCAGTTTAACTGCAATAATAAAAAATTAGTGTAGAAATAGCTGCAATAGACTAGGCTCAAATTCTTTACCGGTACTTTCACAAAACAGATTGTTGAATGCTAGGAATCAGAATAATGGTTTGAAGCAAAATACCCCATTTTACAGGCGCCAACTCGCAAAACCACTCTTTAAATAAGCACCGAAAATTTTCCGATGGTAAAGTATATTTTGTTGAAATTTAATTTGTACTAATTATATTCTAGATATCTCATCTCTTGAGGAAACAAACAAACGCCAAAACAGCGAAATTCTCGCGATGAAGGCAAATCTCAATAAAGCAGGTAAACTTTGTTTTTTCAGTTGGAGATAGGAAGATCCACTCTTTATCCTAGTAGTACATTTGAAAACAAACGAAATTTAGGAGTCGCAAAGAATGCACCAATCTCACACTAAGTATATATCGGTTGTACTTTTTTCAGACTTTTGATCTGAAACACAATCATTAAAACTAGTGCAAAACATAAATCTTACGATTTCGAAAGAATACATGGGATCAGAAAGTCTTTCCATGTACAAAACAAATTAAAATATATCCACGATGCAAAATTTTTATCGAATTGACATTTTAGCAGGACACTTGAAATTTCGAGTTTTTGCATATTTTGTTGATATAAACTGCCAGATCAGGATCTTATGCTTAATGGGGGGAATATGAGAGTTGATAACTAAATCACTTGGCGATCAAATATTCTCACAATGCAAAATTTTAATTAAAATCAACATTTTAGATTTATAGGGACATTTGAAATTTCGGATTCTTGTTTAGCTGGGTAAAATCTAAGTAGTGACAAGAGCCACACCAAATGACATGACGGGCCGGTTGTGGCCCTCGGGCTACCCACAAGTTCAAAGGTCGAAACTAGGGCTGCGCACTTCGAATCGAATATTCGAATCGAATAGTAAATTATTCGAATCGGTTCAGAGCTTCAGAAATTTCGAATCGCCGCCATCTTGTTTTTATCTTTCCGTTAATGGTCGAGGTGAATTCCCCATTTTTTTTTTCATCGAAGTCATATTTTTTCAACGAAATTCTAACATATATATGACTATTTTCTGTAGTGAGTTATTGATAAAACGTGTTTGTTATTCTGTGTGAACGCTCAGTAATCTATCTGAGTGATTTATTCTATGTCTTCAGTAATTCATTTGTTGAGAGGACCAATTATACTATAATAAAGTCGGTTACAATTATATATTTTCAAGTATCCGAGATTCGATTCGACTCGAAAAAATTATTCGATTCGATTCTGAAATCACAAGGTATTCGAAAATGCCCAGCCCTAGTCGAAACTCCTAAAATAATCAGTAGCCTCCTATGTCTACATAGTTGATTGTACAGAGCCTCGTTCTGAGCAAACACATACCCTCTCTAAATCATAAAATATATTTCAGCAATCCCAGTCGCTTCGGTGAGATTGATTACAGACGCAGGGGCGACATCTACCGTCCAAGGAAGAGTTGAAATCTTACATCAAGGAATTTGGGGAAATATTTGCAGCGATGACTTTTCAAATGAGGACGCCAGGGTATCATTTTAACGAAAATTGTATATTTGCTGGAGCTTGGGCCTCCAATTGGCTCGCCATCTCACTTCTGATTACTCTTATGGGTCCGCAGGTTCGAATCCCATGCGGAGATAGCCATGTTCGATATGATTGATGGCTTCCTTGCCGTCGCTAGTCGTTTGCTACTTCCTCCACTATCAAGTCCAAGTATTTGAAAACAAATAACTGCCTAACTAATCCCATACCCTACATGGATTGATAAATGGACGAGAGACCGTGGTTCGTCATGTGATTGGGCCGCCTTGTGGGCTTTCATTTCCCCCGGTATAAATATGTAAATTCTGATCCTAAACCAAATTTTAGTTGTAATTAGTATAATTTAGACGCACGGGGTTAGCAAGGCAACTGCAAGGCCGTGTGTCGATGTCTGCATGCCTTGAGTCTTGTTACGATATATATTTATAGTAAACAAGAGAGCTATGCTCAAATATATGGACACGTAGCGCCACCCAGTGGCAATAATTTTGATGACGTCATAGCGAAAAAAAAAATAATAGCCTTCTGGAGAAAAATCTTTATCTTTAACCACTGAAAATATCAAAGCAATTGATCGAGTATTCGAAGAGAAAAGCGATTTTTTTAAAAATGGAGACGGAGACAAATAACAATAACAAAAACAACAAAATTTTGAAACGATCGTTATGGCCACTAAACGTGTCCAAAAATGATATTTTATATTCAGGTGATTTGCAGAATGCTTGGGTACACGGATGCGGGTGGTCGCACTGGGAATAATTACCGCGTGGGATCAACTGCAAAATTCTGGCTGAATCGTCTTCTCTGCACTGGCCAGGAATCTAATATTGGACTATGCCCCCACGGTGGATGGAATTGGAAAAATTGCATAAAATGCGGTTTCTGTTCATTGCTAGAAAGATAATAAATAGTCATAGATGTGGACGGAGTCTAACTCAGGTTAAGTTGTTTATTACGAGACCGGACTCGAAAATTTTTTTTTCCAATTGACCTATTCTTCTATATCAATGTTTGTATTATTCCATTTTCCACTATTTTTGAGTGACCAAACTTTTGTAAAATCTCGCAATCCAAGATATGCTAAAATGCTTTTATAGGCAAATAATATAGCAATGTAAAACAATGATTCTTACATAACATTTATTCTTCCAGTAATACCTTAGGAGGGAGAAAGCTGTGTGTGTTGGCCATTAGAGAATTTTAAAAATCTTAACGTGGCTTTACTTAGCAGACTAGAGGCGGTCAACTTTTTAATCTGTGACCTTGATTCATGGCTCTGCAGAGTGGCGCATCGTGCCAAGCGTAAGGAATACGCTCGCCATGCACCTCTGATTAATTTTGAATCTTAAGCGGGAATACTCGTAGTTATATGCGAAAGGATTGCTGGACTCCATTTTGGTTGGCTGTCGATCATGGCTTCCACCACCATCAAGTCCATGCATCTGAAACACATACCGGACTAACAGGTATCCGGACGAGGAACCGTGGTTCGCAATATGAAAAAGCCGTATTATTGACTTTCCTCTCCTCCGAGATAATACATAAATCATATTCAATGTTTCCCAATGGACCTTTCCCCGAGCATCGTTTTCCTTGTTTACTTCGTGACATTGGCCAATCAGCAGGATGCAAAAAGTGACGTAACAATGCCCCCTTTTCGCATCCGCTCAGACACTTTTCTCACTCAGACAGATTTTCAAGTGTTGTTGTAAACATTACCTCGTTTTCGCGTTTTTGAACTCTATTCGTTAGTTTTCAGTTGTGTTTCGGAAACCTAAATATAAATCAGATAATTCAATGATCACTCTGTCTTCCTAGGAGTTTTAATTTGATTGCAGTAATAAAAATTAGTGTAGAAATAGCTGTGATAGACTAGCCTGAAATTCTTTACCGGTACTTTTAAAAAAAAGATTGTTGTATGCAATGAATCATAATGATGATTTGTAACACATACCCCATTTTACAGGCGCCAACTCGCAAAAGCACTCTTAAAATAGCCCCGAAAATTTTGCAATGGTAAAGTATAGGAAGAAATATCCGGGGGTCAAAGGTCGGGGAAAGGTCCATAGTTTCAGTTTTTGCACGTAATGTATCACTATAATTTCATTACATTTTCAATAAAACTTTTTCTTTGTTATTTGTTCATCGCTCTTAAAATATTTCTGTTTTCAGTATTTCTTGCATTATATTTAAAAAAATAAATAATTCTATCAATCAAAGGTTGAATATTTTGAGAGCACGGCAGCTGACCCATCGTGCTAAGGGTAAATAAAACTCTTTTCATCACACCCTGATTACCCTGCGGGGTTTGCAGGTTTAAAACAGTGGGGGGGTAATTGTTTGTGAGAGGATTGCTGGACTTCTTTTATCCTTGGGTTGCACCGCTGGTGAGATACATCTTCCTCGACCAGCAAGTCCATACTTTCGAAACGAATAACTGGCTAACTAATCCCATACTCGACATGAACTGGTAGTTGGACGAAAGGCCGTGATCCAGACGGCCAGTGGGGTGCCTAGAGAGGGGGGAGCCACCCCGGGGCAGCACGTTGTAGAGGGCATCAGAATCAAGCTGTAGAGTTGGCGTTATCACACATGTTTTTGGACACGTTTAGTGGCCATAACGATCGTTTCAAAATTTTGTTGTTATTGTTATTTGTCTCCGTCTCCATTGGACCAATTGCTTTGATATTTTCAGTGGTTAAAGATAAAAATTTTCTCCAGAAGGCTATTACTTTTTTTTTCGCTATGACGTCATCAAAATTATTGCCACTTGGCTACGTGTCCATATATTTGAGCATAGCTCTCTTGTTTTTCATTTAATTAGAAGCTGACATTATGTATTTAGTCTTGTGTGACTGACTGCGAGTCAACGATGGATGTTTCCCCGACCATTGAACGCAGAAAAATTCTTCCTATTTTTCAATTGCAACATTTTTGGTGGTCAGTTTAAGAGTGGCTTCGCGAGTGAGCGCCTTAAACTGGTTTATATGTTTCAATCAATCATTTTTATTCAAAATATTCAACGCTGTTATTTGAAAGTACCGGTAAAAAAGTTTAGCCTTGTCTATCACAGGTCACAGCTACTTTTTGACTAATTTTTGATTACCACAATTATGCTATAAGAGAAGGCAACATAATCTTTGAGTTCCATTATCTTTACATCCACTTCCTTTTGCTCCCAGAACAATTGCACCTATGTACATTTGCACCCACATACATTTGCACCAACGTACAATTGAACCCGCGTACATTTGCACTCATGAACATTTGCACCTATAGAAAATTGCACCTGCGTACATTCCGTGGATAAAAATGTCCAGGGTGCAAATTTCCGTGGGTGAAAATTTACATGCGTGCAAACGTGTATGCGTGCTAATGTCCGCCGGTGCAATCTATATGCGCCTGGTCTGCTTTTATTGACTTCCTGGTTGCTCTGTCTGATCAATCTATCTGGTTCGTCCGCCTAATGTATTCGTCTTGTCTGTTTGTATATAGTCTGTCTAAAACTCATTAGCCATTCTGTCTGTCTTTCGGGTCCGATTCTTTGTTTATTATTATTTTTTTCAAGTTGTTTGATATGTTTTTTGTCTAGTAGGCTGTTTATTTGGTCTGACCGTTTGTCTGTTCGTTTTGCGTGTCAGATCTGTCTGTTTAGTTCGCGGCTATTTTTGTGTGTCTTGTCAGTTCTAGTCATCTGTCCGACTTGTCTCCTTTTGCTGGCATACCTGTTTGGTCTGAACCTTTTTTTATTTGTCTTTCTATGTCGTCGGTCTGTCTTGTATTTCCTACTTGTCTGTCTGATCTGTCTTGCATTGCTGTCCTATCTTATTGCCTGTTTATCTTGTCTGTCTAGTCCTAACCTTATTATTTATCTGTCGCCTGTTTGATTTGTCTCATTTTTCTATTTTGTCGGTTTTTCTCGCTGGTACGTATTTTTCTAACTGTCTGTCGTGTATTAATTGGACACGTCCGTGTACATAACGAGCGTTTCAATATAATGTTGTTGTTCTTGTTAGTATTATTCTTTTCTTTCGTCATGATGAAATCGCTTTTCTCTTCGAATACTGACCAATTGCTTTGAAATTTTCAGTGGGTAAAGATTGATTTTTTTGCTAGAAGGCTATTACTTTTACTTATTTCAAAAATTTCTGTGGACTTCAAGAGATTCGTTTTTAATGTGTCAGAATAAAAAATAGCGACATTTTGTGACGTGTCCATATATTTGTGCACAGCTCTCTTGTTTGTTATAGCTGTCTGATTTGGACTGTTTGTCTTGTCGGTCTTATCATTTAGTCTGTCTGTTAGTTTGGTATGTATTATTTGTCTGGTCTGTCTTTTATTCTTATATTGCTATATTGATCTTTCTGACTCGTTTGCCTGGCCTTTCTAGTTTTTATGTCTGTCTAATGGGTCTTCATCTGATTTTCTGGTCTGACCGTTCGTCTGTCTGTCGGTTGTACCTGGTTTGGTGTGTCGTCCTGGTCCGTATGTCTGCCTATACTTCTAGTCGTTTTATATTTGTGTTTATCTGGTTCGGCTGTCAGGTTTGGCAGCCTATAGGCTACGTTTTTCTGTCTGTTTAATCTATCTGGTTCGATTGTCTTGTCTATCTAATCTGGAAATAATTTGTGGTGTGTCTTGTCAGTCGTAGTCCTCTGTCTGATTTGTTTCGTCTTTCAGACATATTTGTTTCACCTGTTTATCTTGCGCGTCTGGTCTGAAACTTTATTTTTCTTTTTTTTGTGGGCAGTCTGCCCCTGGTCCGTCTGTCTCTCGGGTCTGGCTATCTTGTCTGTTTGTTTGATTTGTCTTGCTGGCTGATTTAACAAAGATTGAGACAATCATAACATACCGAACAGACTAAACAAACAAAGATGCCAGGCCAAATGGGCGGTCGGTATGTTTGCTTGTCTGATATTTCAAATCTGTATGTTTGGTCTGTCTGGCAAGATCTATATTTACCTTTGTCTGATTCTTCATCTGTCCGCCTGTCTGTTGTGTCTGTCTGGTCTACCAGTCCGATGAGCTTATCTGGTCCGTCTGGTCAAATATATGTGGTCTGTTTGCCTAGTTTGGTCTGCTAGTCAGACTCTTGTCCGTCTATTTTGTCTGTTCATCAGTTTAGTCCGTTTTGTTCAGAAATATGTATGTTTGGTCTGTATGTCTGGATTTTAATGCGCGATAACTTTTTGACCAATTTTCAGTCTCGTTGGTATATTTGAATGATACACATTTCCATTTTACTTGAAAAACTAATTAAATTTCTCCATTATAATTGCACAGTCTCAAAACAGCATTTTAAACATCTAAAAAAACTGAAAAATTGCACGAAATTTGGCGCGCGAAAACAGAACAGGTGACACTGAATATTATAACATACGCAAAAAAACTAAATTTACGCTTAGTAATTGTGCAGTCTTAAAACAAACTGACATAGTGAGGGAGAAATAAGGGAACCGGAAATAGGCGATGTGAGGAATTTAATTCCTGCTCAATGAGAGAGCATGATATTGCTGTAAAATCTGAGAAGTGACGAAGATTTGCAGTTGTCATAGTAGCCTATTCGTTTTTGCATTCGTTAGTGGACGCCATAGACCCGGACGCCTAACGACATGACAACCAAATTGATTCAGAAAAAAAAAAACATATTGCAACTATATAAGGATGATTGGGACAATATAAATATCTGTCTTATTGGAGATTTCGGAATTCAAATTGCAATGTTTCATCGTATTTTTCATATTTTTTGTGATTTTCACAACGGCATACACTCACTCATATGCCGAACGAAATTTTAATTTGGTATAAAATTATACAATGTTAACATTCTATGTATTTATTAGGCCTGAAAGCAGAATTAACTGGAAGCCAAGCAAAAATTTAAGCTCAATAAAATTGCTTCCAAAAACGCTTCTAGTATAAACCTTGCATCAAATTTATGTGTTTAGCAATACGTGCTATTTTTTCTAACCTATGAAGTAGTTATAGGATAAGGGAATAGAGGAATTAACTCAATCTGGACTCGCTGCCATATACAGTATTACCCACACTTTAGAGTCAAGATTGGCTGTGCTAAAAGCCCGGTTTTTGCCAATTAATATACGCTACGTGCCTAAATGTAGCAGAGAGAGAGAGCATGAATAGAAAAATAACGGTTGAGCGTGTGCATTGAAAATTATATGCAACGCGTCAATCGTCGTCACAAATATGTCAGTTCAGGGGAGGCTCTAACTTTTATGTTAATTAACAAAAATTTTCATTATTCTATGTATTCTATATGTCTTTTGGGAAAATTTAATTTGATTGTTACCGAAACTGGAATGTTTTTATCATTCATGTGTTTTGGTCTAATCTATATATCCAAAGGATTGGATCTGAAGGACTTTAAAACAGATCATAATCTACGCCTTCAAAATCGCTTCCATTTTAACTATTATTATATGGGGTGAATCAAATTTGTGTGTTTAGTAACTCGGGCGATTTATTTACGCTAGGGATTAGTTATAGCCTGGGCTGCCATAACGTCCTTCTTTTCTAGGATTTGTTCTTATTGGACAACGTAGTGGACATAACGATCGTTTCATATTATGTTGTTGTTGTCTCTTGACACGTTTTTAAAAAGTCGCTTTTCTCTTCGAATACGGACCAATTGCTTTCAAAATTTCCCAGTGGTTAAAGTAAAAATTTCTCCCAGAAGGGCTATTACTTTTTTTTTCGCTATGACGTCATCAAAATTATGTGACTCTACGTGTCCATATATTTGAGCATAGCTCTCTTGTTTTGAAGGTCTTTGTTTTAGGAAATATTTTTGTCTTCATTTCCAAGATACGTCCTTATTTTGACATGTGTCCTTGATGTTGTCTTATTTCAGGGGTAGAGATTCCTATACCGGGCACTTAGATTGGTCAATTCGAACGATTGATTTGCTAGAATGACACAATGACAAAAAATAGCCTACCGGCAAAGACAACAACTTAAAACAACTTAAAAGTGAGATGAAACAGACAAAGTATGATTAGACACCGGTCGCAATGGCATGAATACATTTTGTTTATTACTTATCGATTTTTATCAGTAAGTATGTTGATAGGTATTTGGGTGTCTGTTTGATGCACGCGATGTGTCAAGAAAACGAGATTGAATCTGCTCCAGATTTAGCATGTGCATTCATCTTATCTCGGACCAGAAGCCTATTGATTTTGGGCAAATTATGTCGTATAATTAGCGAGTTATTAATTAATTAGTGATGGGACACAAGGTGTCACTATGTAGTAAGAGCGCTGTTTTGGGGGATCCCCTAACTTCCAATCGATAAGTCTTCGGTCTCTGACCGATATTCTCGTTTCGTTTATTGTCATCTTAATATTATGTTCCCCTAGTGTCCTTATTTTTTGGGTTTATATTGATGGCCGCCCTGTTTATAGCTAAAGGAAAGGACGTTAAAAAACGATCATTGATCGCTGCCATATACTACGTATAATCACACTTTATGAGTCAAGATTGGAGGCGCAGTTCTTTCACTTCATGGCAGCTCCTGCCACGAACGAACCGCGGCAGCTCTTGCCATGGTTTTATAGCGCTATTCAGTAATCAGTTTTAACGGTATATTCACAAATTAATGTATCAGATTTTAATTGATCATATGGTATTATATCTACTCAAACCCTAACCCCAAATCCATCAAAACTGTATCCATAAGAAAAACGTTCCAACTTACCCAATATTTGGCACCATAACGGACAGGCAGCCTTGTCTTTACAGCCCACCTGCCGTGGTCACGGCAGCAAAATTTTATCTGCCATTGGTTTTCAATTTGCTGCCGAGGTAACGGCAGCACGTCATTGGTTTGTGGCAGCTAAAAATCCAGTCGCCATTTTGCTGTAGCGGCCATGGTATGGAAATACCGCAATGGTTTTGCGGCAGCTGCAGACGCCACAGAATACTTAACACTGCACTTGGAGTGCTCGTATGCGCGTCTTGGATGGCAGTTCGTGTAGTTTGAAGGACTCTGTTACGTCACTGTGACGTTATAGTGACGTAATTTTTGGATGTCGTAATCAGGTGGAGGTTAGGATTGACACGTAAAAAAATTGTTATGCTACGCCCTCTAGAAGTATGTTAGGTACGAAACTACATGAGACCTAAAATCTGCATATCTCCTCTCACTAAACAATTAATTTTTTCTGTAATCACCAGATTAGAGCTGCAGCCACAATTTTTATTCATTTTTAAATTGTAGTTTGTATAAAAAGTATTGCCATGATCTTCTTTTGATCAGTGTCTCACATTTTAAAATTGATTTAAAAGGTACCGGTATTGCCCGATTTTTTAGGATTAGGATTAGGATTTAGGCATATTTATCCCGGGGGAGAGGAAAGTCGATAAGACGGCTTATCCATATGGCGAACAACGGCCTCTCGTTTGTTTACCATTCCAAGTCTGGTATAGGATTAGTTATATTGTTTGTTTTCGGAAGCATGGACTTGGTGGTGGAGGAAGCCGTAACCGACCAGCGGTTACGTGAACCACCCAACGACGGCGAGGAGTCCAGCAATCCTCTCGCACATAACCATCCCTGCATGGGATTCGAACCTGCGAACCCACGCAGAATAACTAGAGGTGCGGTAGCGAGCGTATTCCTAACGCTTAGCCCGTTCAGCCGCGCCCCGCGTCTTTATTTTATTATGTTCTTTTGACTGTTTCTTTTTTTATCAAGTTATGCCCGTCCTCCAGGTCCTCTGCGCTAGTTGTATGATTGTCCATATGTTTTTGTATGTGTTTCTTTCACACCAAACTAAAATTGATTGATTGATTTTGTTATGTAGGTTTCAAATAAACATAATTCCGTCTAAATTAAAAGCAGACTAAAATAATCACAGCAAGAAACCAGTGGAAGGAAAAACAAATGAATTAATACAGGAAAATGGCAATTGAATCTGCAGCAATCTTCCCTGTGAGTGTATCTATTGATATTCTTTATCTGTATTGTGTTTTAATTTAAAGTAATTTTTTTTATTCTAAGTCATAGTCGCATTCCGTGATTCATTTCAAATTCTTCGTTGCACTTTTTTTTGTATGATTGTATTTAATGTTTGATATTCATTCCACAGTCTGAGAGTGATAACTAATTTCTGAATTTTGTTCGCCTACTTTTCATCAAGTTGTATAAAGGGACTGAAACCTATGGGCAGAGGGTATATTCACTTGGCTAACACAGACAGTCCCCGAACTTGTAATAGAACTAAAATAAGGAAAATTGTAATAAAGGTATGGCCTAACCCTGTAACCTGGTACACATACTACGTTCCCGTGGTCCACCATCGTAGTTCACATACTTCGCCAGTACTCAGCTTTCTGAGCCTGATAGACTTTTATTTGAAAAAAAGAATTTGGGATGTATTGTCACATCACATTTTTGCTTGTTACCGCATTTATTTTGACATCACGTTTCTGGTTGGCGTTATTTAAGTGGTTAGGGCGTTCAGTTTGCTAGACTTTTTATTTTATTTTTGAACGATATTTCATGGTACACAAGATAGTAGGATGTGGTTTTGAAGTCTAATTATTCTTTAAGCCTGTATTGTATTCAAATTTTCTGGCAAGTTGTAGTATGGCACAGTTCTTCAATTCCAAGAGTATCCCATAAAAGCGAAAACATCAATGATAATGAAGTATACGAATACGGCAAAACTTTTCATATTTTCTATTCAGTACGTTTTAAACCCTAAGGTTTTGTTTGCTCTCCTGATTCCATAATCAGTTTTTTAGTTGTATTTATCAATTATTTGTCCCCTGTTATGCTGATTATGGATTTGAAATAAACATATACTCACCCCTCCTTTATGAGACAAGTTGGTGGTGTCGAACCCCATTTGGCCACAGAATCTGCAAATCGGTACTGTACAATAAACTGAAAGGAATTGCAATCTGAAATGTCACTGTTGAAGTCCTCTTAAAAAATAATTTGATTTGTCAACACAAAAATAATTTCAGCGTCAAGAGAGCAGAAAAGACGTGATGGGAGCAAATTTTGGTCACATAATGGCAAACGTACATTGCGATTAATCCATATTATTATTACAACAAATTTGTGCTATCTTACTTATCTGCCGCCACGTCAGGCGCTCTCGTTTCTATGACAAATAGAGATTATATTTAACACTTGAATTCACGTTCGTGTATGATTGTACCCAAGAGTTTCGATAATCTTTGCACAAAGGTTATATTCTCTCATGATGGTTTCAAACAGTGGGGAATGTCGTAGACAATTTTTTGAGAGTTCGGTAAGCTAATTAAAAATAAAAATATTCGGTAAATTTGATCTTGCTATCCTTATTTTGGATATTTACATTTCATTATTTTGGATATTCATGTTCCATACACATATTTTCACTGTGTTTTTTGAATAAAAAATACTTTCGCCTTACTATCTGTTATTTGTAGCTTATTGTTAGCTGGTTATTTTTGAGATGAGGTGAGAGACTTGACAAATTCTAAAAAGGGGGACGCAGCTTAGAAAGTTGAGAACAACTGCGCTAGAATATGTTCCACACAACCTGTGTTCTGTTTGTTGTTGGGTCACCCTGTTAATAAATCAATCGAACTTTGTTAAGACCGCTCAGAAACCAACGAAGACATTCAAATCATCATTTGGAATTATACTAACATGTCTTGGGTCTGCAGTCGGCACTGGGAATATTTGGAGATATCCTCGTATAGTTGCCAACAATACTGGTGAAAAAGGTAATGCATTTATCAATTATTACTTATCGATCTTAAGATCGGTAAGTATATTGATAGGTATTTGTCTGTATGTATGTCTGTCTGTCTGTGTGTCTGTTAGATGAACGCGATATCTCGCGAATGCGAGGTTGAATCTGCTCCAAATTTTGCATGTGCATTCATCTTATCTCGGACCAGAAACCTATTGATTTTGGGCGAATTATGTCGTATAATTAGCGAGTTATCAATCAATTATTGATATAGTGATCTAGATTTTTGTAAAGCGAGAGAATTTTGAGACCCGCCGAGTGTGTGTGTGCGATGCGCAGTGCGCAAGTTACAAGAGCGGATGAATCGAAACTGCAGTTTCTGTTTTGGGGGATCCCCTAACTATCGATCGATAAGTCTTCGGTTTCCAACCGATATTCTCGTTTTGCAGTCTTGTCAACTTCTGTATTTCATCTAGGGAACAGGGTGCGTGTTTAGAGATAGGCAGCCGCCCTGGGTAGCATGTTATATGCCTGTGCGCTTGTTGCCTAGTTTTATTATTTTGAATAATAATAAAAAACATTTCACTTTTACTTGACCTTTAATATATTTATTCAAATGTATAACAACCTCTATTATTCTTTTTTTCCCGAATTATTTGTGAAGTTAGGTATAAGCGGCATCATTATTAGAAACTCGCCCTGTGTGTCAAAAAAATTTGACATCCCCTTGTGACTGTGAAATTGTGGAAATTTCCCTGCGACTGACTCTTAACTCTTATTTTAAAAAATGGATTTGTTTGCGACAATGTTTGCTCAACGTTTGCCCAACAAAATCATTAGCTATGCATGCTTCTTCAATTGGCTGTTGAGAATGTTCTGTCAAGTTAATGAATTTTTATCTGCAGTTTGACTGATTATAGCTATTAAAATGTGAAATAATTGGACACAAAGCAGACCTATTATCCATTTTACTAAATTGTTGTTTTTGATGTGTGCAATTTGTAAAAAAGAGTGCATGGAAAGTTGAAACGCCATACAACTACATAATAGACAGGTCACTCACAGCATGTCAGCGGTGCCTTGCAAAATTTCTATCAGTCTTATTTCATTGAAAAATTATTTTTCTATGGAACTAATAGATCTGTCAACTTCGAATTATTGTACTTTAAATCGTATCGGGACTCGATATTTCTCACAAAATTGTGCCATTTTATTTTAATTTTTGACTTTTTAAAATTGCAAAAATTGTGACGTTTTAATTTTAGACTTTTATATTTTACACAAAATTGTGTCGTTTTATTTTAATTTATGATTGAAAAATTTATTCCACTTGTGTATGCCGATACATGACAATTGTGTGATTAAATTAGACTATCGCCTCTTGTTTAAAGCTATATATTGTATTTTTCTTTCTCCAGGAGCTCTTGCGTTTCTTCTTGTTTGGATTTTATTTCTTTTCACTTGGTCCACCCCGGTTCTATTAATTGAATATGGGACTGGCAGATTCAGCAAGTCAGCGTCTATCCTCTCGTTCAAAAAACTTGGCGGAAAATATACGATGTGGTGCGGAGCTTTCATTGGATTTGTAACTATGTGCATCGCGTAAGTATATTATTGGTTTTTACTCGTCGATCTTGATCGGTAAGTATTTTGATAGGTATTTGTCTGTTTGTTTGTTTGTCTGTTAGATACTTTCGTATGTTATGCGATATCTTAAGAGAGCGAGGTTGAATCTGCTCCAAATTTTGCCTGTGCATTCATCATATCTCGAACCAGAAGCCTATTGATTCTGGATGAATTATGTCGTATAATTAGTGATGAAGATATCTAAGTTTTTGCAACGCGAGAGAATGTGTAAGTATGACCTAGATTTTTGAGGCGAGGCGCAGAGCCGCTAGATCAATAAGTCGGCGGTTTCCGATCGCTATCTCGTTTAGTTTATTGCCAAATTAGATCCAAGATAATTATTTTCCTCATGCAAAACTAATATGCGGGGAGTGGCCAACCCCTGAGCCGTGTGTGGCTCTTGACGGTTTTTCATCACTTTTTGCCTTGTTTATTTCAAGGATAAAATGATTTACTGCGTTTCACCTTGTTTTTACTAAACATAACATGATTCATCGCTCATTCATCTTTTACCTCGAAGATATATGAACGCTTTCGTATGCAATATGAAATAATAAATAAATGAGAGAGCAATCGAAGACCGTTGACTTATCGATCTAGTTTTGTGTATCCTTGCTCTGACTCAATAGCGAGACCGTATGTTCCATCACTAATTAATTAATAACTCGACATAATTATACGACATAATTCATCCAAATTCAATACCCTTCTGGTCTCCGAGATGTGATGAATGCACATGCAAAATTTGGAGCAGATTCAACCTCGCTTTCGTAAGATATTGCGTAACATACAAAAGTGTCTAACAGACAAACAGACAGACAAATACTTATCAACATACTTCTCGATCAAGATCGATAAGTAATAAGATACATGTTTCAAATTACAAAAACAGCTATTTGCAGTTGACGAAAGTCGCAAAGATTCAATCACTCCTCCCGACTTTTTCCAGGGCGTATTATGCAGTTATATGTGGCTGGTGTCTCTACCATGTGTTTTATTATATTGCTAATCCTTTACCTGAGACTATTGATGCAAGCAAAACAGTGTTCAATGCTTTCACTAACCAGACATTGTGGCCGGTATTCCTTCAAGCTATTGTTATCATCCTTGGAGGTTTTTCTGTTCTTGCAGGTCAGTGATTTTACTTGTCTTGACACTTGTCTAACACTAACCTGGTACACATACTACATTCCGGTGTCCGCCATCTTAGTTCACATATTACGAAAGTACCAAAATTTTTTGTGATTCTCTGTTAAGTCACATTGTTATTCTAGCATGCCCTTTCTTGGGTATCATGATCAAAGTCGACAATGTAATCAAGCGCGCCTCTTTTCTAAAATTGCTTATTATCTCGGAATCAAGAAATTTACAGTATGTTTTGCACTAGTTTTAATAATTGTGTAATAAATATACTACTTTGTTTGAAATTGGTGTATTATTTGCGACCCCTAAATTCGCTGTGTGCCCTCGTGTGATGTCATGTCACAATCCCAGTTTGTTATTCGATTTGCATTTGAAATAATCTTGCATTATGCACAGATAAATTCAGTGTTCCGTCTAATCAGTGTTTTGATAATCTTGCATTGTACACAGTCAAATTCAGTGTTCCCTTTAGTCGGTCTTATGTTTGGTGATCTTGCATTACACACAGTCAAATTCAGTATTCCTTTTCAAATGTTCTTTTGTTTTGTTAATCATACCCAATTAAATTTAGTGTTCCCTCTCAATCCATCTTTTGTTTTGTTAATCCTACACAGTGTAATTCAGTGTTCCTTTTCAATACTCACCCTATTAATTTACACAGGTGTTCGCTCTATTGAACCAGTGATGTTGGCAATGGTTCCTGTATTATTACTCCTTATGATAAGTTCCTTTGTTTACTCACTGACTCTACCAAATGCTTGGCTTGGGATTAGGCATCTCTTCTCCATGGATTGGTGTAAGTAAAATTTTTGATACTCTCGTAGTATGTGAACCAAGATGGCGAACACCAGAACGTAGTATGTGTACCAGGTAAGTGTTAGGCAGGCCATAATTTCAGGTACAAATACTACGGGAGTCACTTGGCTAGTCCCTGAACTCATAATAGAACTAAAATAAGGAAAATGGGAATAAAATTATGGCCTAACTCTAGCCTGGTACACATACTACGTTTCGGTGTTTGCCATCTTAATTCACGTACTTCGGGAGCGCTAAATTGTTCTACATTCTTGGATCTCTTTCGGTTGCTGATAAATGACATTACCATGGAGCTGTGGAGTCATGCATTCACTGTAGCCACTGTAGCGGTGTGGCGCATCGTGCTAAGCAGTAGGAAAATGCTAGCCAACGCACGTCTGATCACCCTGCGTGGGTTCGCCGGTTTGAATCATGTTTGAGAGGATTGCTGGAGCGGTTGCGGCTTCTTCCACCATCAATTCCATGCATCTTAGACAAATATATGGATAACTGATTCCATACCGTCATGGACTGGTAACCGGACGAAAAGCTGTGGTTCATCATATGCTTAAGTCGACTTATTGGCTTTCGTCTCCACGCGGGATAAATATGTAAATCCCATATCTTTTAGCAATCACCATATTATGTGGGCAGTTCTGGGAAATAGACTCAGTGGTTGTTTACAAACACTGTATTAGCACTGTGTATGTCTGTGTAATAGTGTTTTCGCATTAAGTCCTATACAGAAAAAAAAGGTTAACTTTTAATTTTTCTATACTTCAGCTGTGTTTGCAAGCCCAAGAACATGGATTGAGGCAATGACTCAGAATGCATGGGATACTGGTGCGGCAGGGGGAACACTCCTAGTTTATGCTTCATATATGGGAAGAGAACATGGTGTGGTTAGGTCTGTATAATTGAGATTAAAGTTGATTGAATTTTAGTGGACTGGGTGTGATGTACTAATTTTCAACCGTGCTTTTCAACCAATTTTGATGTTTTAGGTAAAAAATGGATCAAGGAATTTGAGATTGTGATTAAATTGATTTTTTCGCAGAAGATTTATTGTTTTCCACGGTTGCTTTTGTAACACTGTAAATATTATTCCAAAAATGTAACTTTTTACGTTACGCTTACATGGCCCGCCAGTTTGGGTGGGCACATTTTTTGGCCCCTGTTCCGAAAAGCATGCCTCTGGTCTATATTAACATATGTATAATATTTAAATATAATCAAATACTATTTGGTTTGCCATATTTGGTTTGGTTTTATTGAGCTTGCTACACTCTGAAGATCGTTAGGTTCGCTGTCATATATCTGCTTCGCAAGCCCCCTTGACCTATCGGGGGAATTCAATGCCGATTCAGAAGGATTCTAGTCATGCACACTCTGGCAGCAATCACACTTTACCTTTCTCATTTGAATATTCCGTCCAGATACACTTCACTGATTTTCTATAATGTAGCAACTTTCTCAGCGAATTAAGCATATATTTGTTTTCTTTTTTAGATACGCTACCTCAATACCTACAATTAATAACTTTATGAGCCTTCTGATGGCAATCACCATATTTTCAACAGTTTTTTCAGTTCAGGTTTGTGTTTATTATTTTTTTTAACTATACTATGAGACAGATGATGGACCCATAGGGCGCTGGTACTTGTTGAAAGGCGCTCCAGAAGTATGTGCACCAATATGGAGGTAACTAATTTTGTTCGCCTACTTTACATCAAGTTGTGTAAAGGGACTGAAACCTATGGGCAGGGGTATATTCACTTGGCCAACACAGACAGTCCCGGAACTCGTAATTGAACTAAAATGAGGAAAATTGGAATAAAATTATGGCCTAACCTGATACACATACTAGGGGGGACCTGTTGAAAATAGCAAGAGTGAACTTCACTGAATACACATGAAAAGATTGCTAAGACTATTTTTTAAAAAAAATTTTTTTTTTCAAATTTGTCTTGCCAACCGGCCGTCATGTAATGTGTTAAAATAATATCAAGCCTTGGGATTTGCTGGACGAATAGTGGTTCGATTTTTTTCCTGGTCGGTTACGGCTTTCTCCACCATCAAGTCCATGCTTCTAAAAACAAATAACTAACCCATACCCGGCATGGACTGGTAACTGGAAGAGAGGCTGTGACTCGTCATATGATTAAGCTGTCTTATTGACTTTTCTCTCCTCAGGGTTAATATATTAACCCTTATATCACCTGCCATAGTAGCAGACTTCTGGTTACTCATGTCTTTGGGTTAAAATATCTGGTGTAATGACATGGATTGGTTAGCCATCATGTTCGGAGAAATAAAAAATAAAAATAAAATCAACAACTTGTTTTTTCAGGTTTCTGTACATCCCGACTACACAGTTCCTACAGTATTAGAAACTTTCCAATACAACGGGCCGGCGAATACCGGCCTCACATTTATATGGTAAGTAAAGGTTTTGAGGAGCCCATGGCCTAGCGGTCGGCAAACTTTGGGGCCTTGTATTAAAATGGTGGAACGTGTCCCACAAGGGTGGAGAATATTTTGAGGGAGTGTTAAGCAAATTAAAAGTGAAAATATTTGTTAGATTTGATCTTGCCTGCTTTATTTTGGGTATTTATGTTCCATCCACCTATTTTCAACGTGTTTTTTCAATAAAACGTACTTTCGCCTTACTATCTCTTATTCGTAGCTTATTGTTAGCTAGTTATGTTTTGGGTGTGTCATGAGAATCGACAAATTTGAGTATGAATGGACTCTGTTCACATACTTCCTCCTTTCTTTTGGCACGAGGGTTATTGTTTGCCACTGTTGCTTTTGTAACACTGAAAACATTGGTCGTAAAATGTCACTCTTTATGTCATACTTACATGGCCCGCCAGTCTAGGTGGGCAAAAATTTTGGCCCTTGATTGAAAAATCGTGCCCACCCCTGCTCTGACCTATTCACTTTTTCAGGATTCCAATTCTGTATTCTAACCTGACAGCAGGTCGAGCGTTCGTTGTTATCTTCTTTTTCTGTTTATTCATCGCTGGTTTTTCATCTCAAATTGCAATGATAGAAACTGCAGCTCACCAGCTGGAAGATTTAAAAGGTAATTTATTTGCTCATTTGCTCTAGAACAGGGGTTCTCAACCTTCTTTCTGTTAAGTACCCCCGAGTCACGAAAAAATCAACGCGAACCCCCGGTAATCAGACACCAAACAAAATTGTGATATATTGACTAACAATTTGTTGCAACACCAATTCATTGACCATATCTAACTAAATTAAATCGTCTTTTTGATATTATTGCCCTTATCGTCTGCCTATCTAATGAACTTTTAAAATCTCTCCCAAGTTTCAATAAGCATAAATGCATAATCACTTCTCCGATGCTCGCAGCACGCTGTCTTTAGAGATTTCACAGTTTGTACGCAAAGCCTTGAATTTCACATTGTTGTGTCACAATCACAACAACGCAAGATCAGGGAAAAACTAAGTTCCATTGGCGTCTTGTTTTTCTGTCCAATTCTTAAACGATTCACTGAAAACCGAATATTTCCTGACTTGCTGTTAATATTCCTGATGAAAATTCGTGCTTATATAGTTTGGATAACTTCGACAGCGGAAGAAGTCTGTGAATTCTCAAGATATTTTCAGTTATCAGTGGCTACTTTTACCTGGCTCTGTTCGGAGCAAAAGGCATGAGTGTATGCCCCACTATGACATCATACACAAAAAAAGTCATTTCACTTTTCTTGACTAAACATTGCTGTTACTTCTAATTTCAGTTCCACGTAAAATCGGTGTACCATGTCTCTCTGTTTTTCTTATATTTCTCGGGCTTGGGAGCTCGTTGAATATCAACTTTCTGGTAAACCAAGACTATGTTTGGGGATCGGCCATCTTGATTAGTGGCGGAATGTTTGTTTTCCTTATGATGAGGTAAGATTGATTTTTCACTTTGCATAATCAGTCAAGCGTGACTAGCCGGAATAATCTTTTTGCATTGGTTATGTGTCGTTGCTGCTTCTTCCTGTGTCATTGATTTTTGGTTGCTCCAGAAGTATGTGTACTAATATGGAGCAATGGAGGTAATAATTTTGTTTGCCTACTTTACATCAAGTTGTGTAAAGGGACTGAATGCTATGGGCAGTGGGTATATTCACTTGCTTCACACAGACAGTCCTGAACTTGTAATAGAACTAAAATAAGGAAAATCTGAATAAAATTATGGCCTAACCCTGCCCTGTTACACATACTATGGGAGTACCGATTTTTGATATGACATATTTCCACTACAGATAGTCAGTCAAGCATGGCTGGTCTGAATAATCTCTTTGCAGTGCTTATGTCTCAATGCTGGTCCTTCCTTGGTGTGCCATTAATTTTCGATATGACACATTTTCACCATAGATAGTCTGTCAAGCATGACTGGTCGGAATAATCTCTTTGCAGTGCTTATGTCTCAATGCTGGTACTTAGTGTGCCATTAATTTTCGATATGACACATTTTCACCATAGATAGTCAGTCAAGCATGGCTGGTCGGAATAATCTCTTTGTGGTGCTTATGTGTCAATGCCGCTGTTTTCTGTTTCGTTGATTTTTTGTTTGAAATCTGGTTACTATCGCTTGTCTTTGTGAGAATTTGCTCAAAGCAAGGTTGTTCAGACTCATTCAGAAGTAAAGGAGACTCATCTCTGAGCAAAACTTTAGACGGCCACTGGATCGAACCATAGAGATTAGGGTGGCACATTACATGCGCTCAATCAAAAGTAAAGTAGACTATGGACAACCAGTGAAAAGCCAATGGCAACGCACACTCACCTGAGAGTGAACAAGACTCCTCTCCGATCAAAACTCCAGGCTAAAAACTGAAAGGACAATAGCTATTTATGTACACTCACCCGAGAACTACGGCGATCAATGAAATTCCAGGAGCTAATTGAACCATATAGAATTATGGTTGTGCATCACACACACTCAATCAGTATAGTGAAGTACACTATGGACAACTACTGGAATGCTAATAGCTATGTACACTTGTCCAATAGTGAACAAGACTCGTGTCCGAACAAAGTTGATGCCAAGGTTGTGGATTTTATCCCTGAATATCGACATGAATCGATTTCGCTATTAAACTACAAGATCAGGCCGAACCTACTGACCTGGGTTTTCTGTACTGTTTTGAATTCATTAACGCTATATTACCAAAAATATGACAGGGTAGTTATACAGTAATAATGGTAACTTGCAGCCAGTGAAAACTTGTTTTTGTTTCATCCGACCCTTTTGTTCATTTGAGTTGTGCAGGCCTGCATTAGACCTTGCAAATGGGAAAGGCGGACTGAAATCGGACAATGTTTTTATATTATAGATTTGGCGTCTCTAAGTTCCGAGAAGAGGTCGTCAACGGTTACGGCGATGGCTCAGATTGGAAATTACCAAAGATCTGGGATTTCATGATTTACGTTATTATTCCACTTGAATTGCTGTTTCTTTTTATATGGTGGATAATCTCTTCGGTCCAAGATGAGCAGAACCCTTGGTATTTGGTGACAGGGGAAAGCATGATGGGTGCAGTATTGCAGGTGTGGTTAGTTTATAATATAAAGTGGGGCTGGGTAATTAACCTAGGCCAGGCCTGCCCAACCTTTTTGGTCTCGCGGGCAGCGGGCCACCCTCGCATGACGAAATTTGTTGGGGGCCGCAAACGTTTAAACCAAACATTAATACCAGCTAATTTCGGTGTAGGTAATTTACATAATACATAAAAGGCAAGTTTATTAACATGAAATCAATCAATTTAATAATTGCTTTCTGGTTACTGGGTAGGGCTGGCAAATTGTTCGAATATTATCAGAATTATCAATTTCATCAGAATTATTGACGGATACGCAGTTACGACGTTTACAAAATCCTATTTAACACCAACATAACATAAACAAAAATAAATATAAAATTAAAAATAAAAGGGCAACGAGTCCTGGGATCAAAGATCAACCAAAGACACGTTGGCGATCGAAGTCGACACGAAAGAAAGCAATCAGAATGAAATTAATTTGCAAATTTAGGCTCCAAATTCATTCCTATAATTGTGCTCAGCGTTTGTCCCCAATGTTCGCACAATATCCAATAATAAATTCCAGAAATAAAAAAAAACTGAAGTCGATGTCCGCTAGGGTGCAAGACTTGACACATACGTAATAATCACACCAAATCAACAAACTTACTTAAGCCTATATATTGATATATAACATAGTGAAAATTTAAATAGTCTTCTTACAAACTTTATAGGGCGGGCCGGGGGTTGGGCAGCCTTGACCTTGACCTGGGGCAGCCTTGAACCTTTTTTAATGAATGGGTCAAAAATTATAGTTTTATCATGTGAAAGGAGATCGTGGTTTAAAAATTCAATTAAGTCTGGTTGTTGTATTTTCATTTTCTGCACATCTTGGCATTGGAGCGATTTGCTTGTAAAATTCAACTCCAAAGGAAGTCAAAGTTATCCCAAATGTAGATTCAAACACCCTTAGTGACAACCCCTTTTTTAACAAAATCCTTAGTTTGCACTTAATAACATCATTTTTTTTTTCAGTGGACCGTAACAATTCTGATACTCGTTGCGATCAATCTTCTCTATGTTCGTTACGCTCCAACATTTCTACATAAATCACGCCATGTCCTTCAAAATGAGGATGACCTTGACTATGGAGCGACTGCTCAGATTGGAGAAGTAATTAGTACGGAGAATGCTTCCGCAGGTAGATAGTGTTTTTTCATGTTCAAATATGATCAAGTTTGACGTTAAATCGATTTTGGTTTGACCTTGGATTGACTCAGTTTGACCATAAATCTGCCCGGTCTGACCTTGGTTCGTCGCATAGTTTGACCCTTAATCGACCCCTTTTTGACCTTGAATTGGCCTGAGTTTGACCATGGTTCCTAGCATAGTTTGATCATAAACCTGCTTGGGTTGACCTTGAATCTACCTGCGTTTGACCTTGAGTTGACCACACAGTAGAGCTAAGATCTGAAGCCTGACCCGACCAGAAATTCGGGCCGAGTCTGGCCTGAAATGTCAATCATTACGTTCGGGTCGGGTTGGCTCTATCGCCGACTTTTTTTTTATAAATATATGTTTATAAAAAATATATACTAAAACTATGTGTGGAATTCAATGAACTCCAAAATAATATATGAAATTTCGGGTTTGCTTCGGGCTCAGGCCTGCAAATCCAGTTAATTTGTCGGGAACTGGTCGGGTTTAATACCCACGGGCCCGGGTCGGGCTGGAATTTTTGGGCCCGATCTAACCTCTACCGCACACCTGCCCAGTTTGACCATAAATTTGTCCAGTTTGACCTTGGTTCTGGCATAGTTTGACCTTAAATCGACCCCAGTTTGACCTTGAGTTGACCACACATCTGTCCAGTTTAACCTTGGTTCTAGCATGGTTTGATCTTGAAACTGATGCTGTTTGACCTTGAAACTGATGCAGTTTGACCTTGGTCTGGCACAGTTTGACCTTGAACCTGAGTTTTTAAGACGCATCTGTCCAGTTTGACCTTGGTCTGGTATAGTTCTGGGTTATATAGTTCTGGTATTGGTATTGTCTGAATCTACACCAGTTTGATCTTGAAACTAATGCTGTTTGACCTTGAACACTTAGCCATACGCAGTATTCATAATAAATGATTTCTTAATAACATATTTCTATTAATTCTATACAGGAGAAATTAACAGTGGATTAGAATTGGCCGAGTTTGGAAATCCAGAACCCTTGCACGCAAATCAAAACAACCGAAAGCAGCCTCTTATGGAGCTAAATCCAACAGTTGCATATACACCCCAGTCCTTACATGGGACGTATTAATAAGGATCAGATTGACATTGTGTTTTAAATCTTTAATATAGGTCTTCAACTTTTATGGTCTGACAAAGGCTATGTTCAGGGCTCAGTTTGACCTTAAATCAGCATGTTTGTCCTTGAGACAGGTTAAGTTTTATCTAACAACACGAAAAGCCGAAACTTTATTTTTTTATGCCTTTTACAGAGATGGCCCTTCAAATGACGATTCCCCATCCTCACCCTACTGCTTTGATGATCCACCATATGATTAAGCCGTCTTATCGGCTTTCCTCTCCGTCAGCATAAATATATAAATTTATTAATAGTTTGTATTCAGAGTCCGGAGGTATTTTTTTCACAGCCTTGCCTAAAAAAACCTGTGCGAGCAGCACTTGTAATATTTTGCCAGTTGATTTGCCCTTACGCTACGTTTTTTCCCCCTTATTTTCAGCATGAATACACATTCTTATTATCAAATTGCTATATTTGATTATTGCATATCCCATTCCTATTTAAAATCGTTATTTTGTGCATATTTAGGGGAATTCACGTGCACCAACTTAGTTATTAAACATCATTTTTATTTTATATTTGGTACTCCCGAAGTATGTGAACCAAGATGGCAACACCGGAACATAGTATGTGTACCAGGTTAGGGTAAGGCCATAATTTCAGGTACAGGAGTCACTTGGCTAGTCCCCAAACTCGTAATAGAACTGAAATAAGGAAAATAGGAATAAAATTATCGCCTAACCCTGCCCTGGTACACATACTACCTTCCGGTTTCTGCTATCTTGGTTTACATACTACGGGAGCACCATATTTTTATCATAAATACACAATCCTGTTACTTTGCTTGACAATTTTATTCTATAGGTATTTCTTCAAAAAAAAACATTTTTCACATTTACCTGTAATTGTTATCATGTTATTTATTCAGCACTTACTTGAAATTTGTGTTCATCGATGTCTCTAAGATTCCTTTATTTATTTTACTAAATATCTATTCAATCAATTGGCGCTCCAGAAGTGTGCGTACCAATACGGAGGTAACTAATTTTGTTCGCCTACTTTACATCAAGTTGTGTGAAGAGACTGAAACCTATGGGCAGGAGATATGCACTTTGCTAACACGAACAGTCTCGAACTCGAAATAGACCTAAAACATGGAAAATAGGAATAAAATTATGGCCTATCCTGGTACTCATACTTCGGGAGTATCCATTAATTTACCTGTGATAATATTTTTTAATTAACCTATGTTGGGTTTCTATGGAAAGGGGGCGGGGTGTCAAATAGAGAAATATTTAAAATGTATTTTTGTCGGCTGTGAAGTTTTCAAGCTCCACTAGTGAATTGTTTATTAAAGAAGATATGCATGATGCACCCTAATATTTATGCACATACTTGTATTGTTATTACACAATTTTTACACAATCTTCATTGTTTGGTAATAATCAGCACTTTCGAGGGTTTTTATTATTTTTTGTCTGTTTTTATTCTAATCATAATCTTATGGTCTGTTCAGAAAAGTAGATTAAGTTTAGTTTAAGAGAATCGTGGAAATACATTTGAATAATACGATCAAATAAATGTATTTCATAAGTGGTGCCAGCTGAAATTATGACTCTAATTTTATCGATATAAATCCCGCTAAAAATAATGTCAAAATGACTTCGATTGTTACATTGTGCTTCTTATAATTATATAAACGGTAGCCTGGCTTTGGTAAATAAACTGTGTTTTTTATTCAAAGTTTTTCATGTTTTCGAAATCCGGCCCAGTTACCAAATGTAACTGGCCCACTTATAAAAGTAATTACCCATACCTGCAGTCTATTTGACACATTTCTCATGCCCAATATGGACTGGTTGTCACATCGACTTTCCTATCCTTATCCCATTCCTAAATAAGTTATATCTTCTCGTATAATATATGTTGCTATAAGAAGCATCTGACAATCCATATTTACATATTTTATATCTGTGTCTTTTGAATAAACTTGTGCAATACCGTATACCAATTCTGTTGGATTAATGTTCTGTGCGTTGAAAAGATCCTCATATTTAGTGTTTCTCATAGTGGGAGAACGGGGGAATAAGAGAAAACAATACCGCAAGAGGACATTCGTGCAAATATACATTTTTGCAAAAAGGTTTATCCGTGCAAAAAAGTCCTTGCTGAAGTCCTTTTGCACAAAAAGACGTTTTCACAAAAGTTTGTTTGGGTGTCGCTGCTCGATAACCAACTAGCTTTGATTTCCGGCGCCTTCCCTTCCCCAGTAAAGCTGTGTAATTATCACTTTCTCATAAGATGTGCTCGAGCGATATTTTTCACTGGTTGAAAAAAAAAATTGACTCGTTCCGCTTGGATTTCGGGTATTAACCAAATTTTTAGTACCGGAAAAAATTATGTTACCTTTCTCTGGAGAAAACGAGTCGTTGCCTAGCTTTAGTCACTTAAAGTTAACTCGTAATCAATAACCGCCAGAGAGATTCAATTCTGTAATCGACTAGACTTACAACTTCATATTTTTCCCCCTTCGAAACAATAGGCACCCTTCAGATTTTGCTGAATAACGTTTCAATGAAATGACTTGGACTTATCGCCAAATGACGCCAGCGAGACTTAACTGAGAAACTCTCATGACTCGACTTGGCATAACACTGGGTTCAAGTTTGAATTATGTTGAGTCTCACACAATTTTTGCAGATAAGTTTTTTTTTCAACATTATAATGAGTAATTAAGCCAACTCATTTTTATGTGCTTCCCAGAAAAGTTTCTTTCCTTATTTGCACAAAAGCTAATGGGGTCTCAAGCTACTCAATATTAAACTGTACTACAATTAATACTGAACTAAGTTTGGTTTAGAAATTCTCCATATTATACCTTCCCTAACCAGAGATGTGGTGGGCGTGGTCATTTTTACGCATGAGAAATTTTTATTTTACGGTTCATTTCTTTTTGATTCCCATAAAATAACAACAAAGAAAACCCGTAAGTGATCGAATCGATATTTATTATCATGTTTGGTTATATACAGAAATCACATGGAGCTACGGAACTTAGTTTCTGAGCAAAAAGTGGACAAGGCGACCAATTCAAGACATGGGTTATACGGTTAATAATAGTAAAAGAAAGAGCTATGCTCAAATAAATGGACACGTAGCGCCACCTAATGGCAATATTTGGTGACGTCATAGCAACAAAAAAAAGTAATAGCCTTCCCCAAATTATTTTTTGTCTTTATCCACTGAAAATTTCAAAACAATTGGTCCAGTAATCAAAGAGGAAAGCGATTTCTTCAAAACGTGTTAAAGGACAACATAACGATCGTCATGTCCACTAAACGTGTCCAATAAATTAATTATGAGTTGAATCAAGATTTATTTATTAAAACAAATTTGTGATCTTTTTCATTTTGTTTAAATCTAAAACAGGCCACAGATTTCCAAAAAATGCACAAATCAAACTATCAGAAATGTAATTCCATAAACACGTAATTTAGTCTCCTGTCATCAATAGAATCAGGTTCTAATGCCTGAAGGAGAGTAGTTTTGAAGAGTTTTTTAAGTTTGGATCTTTTGAGCAATATTTGTGCGCGATACATTGGATACCGGATGATTAGGATACCGCACTTCTGTTGCTATAGTGATTGGTTCTCCACTTGACACCAAAAGCTGATTGTTCTGTAACAATTGAATAAAAAGATTCATAATCTGTTGCTTGAAAAGTTAATGCGACTGACATATTATATGGAGGATGAAAATATTTGCTGGTAGTAATGAGCTACATAGTAAAGGTAGTCATCATAGATAGACGAATTATGATATATATGATAATATTTTTTAAAACTGTTTTCGGTCAATTTTTTGAATACGGTGAAATAAGTCAAACGAGAACTCGGATTTCAGTTGTAACCTATCAAACTGACCTTATACTCCATCCCAGTTCAGGTGCCAACCCATGTCCAACCAGCAGGGATCAGTGAACGTAGATAAGGGATCAGCAGCTGGAAATGCTCGAGGTTGTAAATATTCGCGAGTTTTCCGTTGTTCATTGATTTGCAGATTGGTTCGGAATCGTTGAATGTAACGTTGAACTGCTCGGTAGCATTTTTTCTTGTATGTGAAGCCACACTTATCTGAAAACATTATTGGGGTCCTTGAATATCGCCTTCAGAAATGACGTCATAGAATCGGGGATTACATTTTTTATCGGTTTGTTAGTTAGAACGCTTATTAGACGAACTGAAAACGGCGGACAGATTGCAGGTTCAGATGTATGGTGGTGGACGGAGTCGTAACCGACTAGTGGTGTGGTTAATCATGCAGCAACGACCAGGAGTTCAATACTTGTAATATTAGGTGAATTAAATCTAAACCAACGCGCCATGAAAATGCGTCCCTAAAGCTTTGGTGGAAGTGGCATAATTTATAATTAAATTATCAAATCATAAAACACAAATATAACTAGAGCTGCGTGCAGCTTTAACAGGCTTCCCGCGTAAAAAAAAACTGAAGACTCGTTTTGCTCACTGGAGCGTGAAAGCGTGGTCAGTCATGCATAAAATTTGCAATATATGATGGGGGACTTATTATCTGCATGTGATTTAAATTTCAAGTCTCTAAGTAGTGTCGTTCTCGAGAAGAAGATGAAAATGTAAAATCCTATATTGCTCACTGGAGCGTATCGCCGAGGTCACTCATGCGTATCCTTGACATGTCGTATCCGGAACATGTCCATTAATCATTGTTATGAATTTCAACCCAATAGCATGTATCAATTTTGAGAAATCGCAAAAAACTGAAAACGCGTTTTGCTCACTGGAGCGTGAAAGCGGGGTCAGTCATGCCTAAAACTTGCAAATTATGATGGGGGACTTAGTATCTGCATGTGATTTAAATTTCAAGTCTCTAAGTAGTGTCGTTCTCGAGAAGAAGATGAAAATGTAAAATCCTATATTGCTCACTGGAGCGTATCGCCGAGGTCACTCATGCGTATCCTTGACATGTCGTATCCGGAACATGTCCATTAATCATTGTTATGAATTTCAACCCAATAGCATGTATCAATTTTGAGAAATCGCAAAAAAACTGAAAACGCGTTTTGCTCACTGGAGCGTGAAAGCGTGGTCAGTCATGCCTAAAATTTGCAAATTATGATGGGGGACTTATTATCTGCATGTGATGTAAATTTCAAGTCTCTAAGTAGTGTCGTTCTCGAGAAGAAGATGAAAATGTAAAATCCTATATTGCTCACTGGAGCGTATCGCCGAGGTCACTCATGCGTCTCCTTGACATATTGTATCCGGAACATGTCCATTAATCATTGTTATGAATTTCAACCCAATACCATGTATTAATTTTGAGAAATCGCAAAAAAACTGAAGACGCGTTTTGCTCACTGGAGCGTGAAAGCGTGGTCAGTCATGCATAAAATTTGCATTTTATTGCTAGCAGAGAACTTCTGTACATTTGAGGCGAATTTCAAGTTTGTAGGACCAATTTGAAAAAAAAATAATAATAATAATAAACTAGAGCTGCGTGCAGCTTTAACAGGCTTCCCGCGTAAAAAAAACTGAAGACGCGTTTTGCTCAATGGAGCGTGAAAGCGTGGTCAGTCATGCATAAAATTTGCAGTTTATGATGGGGGACTTATTATCTGCATGTGATGCAAATTTCAAGTCTCTAAG